GTCAAAATCATTTTCGTTTTCAAGGAAAAGGGAAAATGCAAGGAGTAGCATAACTTAGAGAAGGTTAGTTCAAAAAAATGTGCCCCCACCAGGTAGAGTTGCAGATGCAATTAACTATTTAAAAGCAGCTTCTTCATTTCACATGTAGATTAAAGTGGAGAGCTCAAAAACTTGAAGTGAGAACTTTGGGATTGGAAATACTTGGAAACATATGTCGAATTAAGCCTGATTCCTACTTTTGCAGAATATTCAGACAGATATGATGGTACAACCTTTTCTAACAATATCAGCATACGCATTGACTCTTATAGTGTATAGAAGACAATACATTTCTTTTGAATCTTTGTACATATCTAGGTGAGGAAAATTTTGTTTCCAAGTATTGCCAATCCAATCATAGATCTAGACAAAATAAATTAGCCACAGAATTCTCCTTATCAAAAAAACAAAAAAAAAACTCATACACTTTGCCGCTTCCCCTGAGCGGCAGAAATAACCAAGAACTAATACATACCTCGTATACTTTCCTGCGATCGTGAAGAAGGTATTGCGGTTCCAATTCATTCACAAGGAAAGGCCTAAGACAGAGGAGACAATTGACAATCATAATTTGTCCACGGTGATGCCAAAGTTTATATAAGTGTGTTAAATATTTCCCTCCAACATTTACAGGGGAAAAAAGAGGTTATTTTTTTACTTTTCAAAAAGAAGGTTCTATTAAGATGGCAAATTCTCATCATTACAAGACAGATATTCAAACTTGGAGCTTCACAACTCAACAGTATCAGATCTTCTTGGGACCTTATCTAGACAAAAATAATATGACCTGACAGTTGTTGTCATCATTACAAATATCAAAATTTCAAGTTTGATGATCAAGTAGTAACTTAAGAAACGTCTTTGCAAAAGAAATTAGTCAATTACGACACAAACCAAAAGCAAAAGTCTCACGACCTTTTTTTTTAATCTTGCATTATCTTTTCGATAAACGCTATCCTGCATTTTCTACTATCCCTAAACTCCTAATGAATGCTTTAAATCTGCCCGCCAATCATTTATAGCTTGCTAAAAGAATCAATCACAAACAACAGATTTTACACCAGAGCATAATACATGTTATCACAGTTGAGAAACCAAAAGATTAATAAGAAAAGGATTTGACGATCATTTATGACATCAAAAACCTTAACCTTGTTTTTTTATGTTCAGACAGACAAGTCTTGTGATTTTATACGGCTATAGAATGCGCTGGACTATTAATAATCAGAGAAGAAGCCACAACACCAATGTTGCAAGTGTGATAAAGAAAATCCTCAACTTTACCAAAGTTTTTCGAAAGCAAATAAAATTTCCAGGACTCCTATAATATCTCGTGCTAGCAGTTACTCTGGTGATGCCAGTCATAGATCATTTAAAATAGATATTCAGAGGATGCAGAATAACACAAAAGTGAGCATGCCTGAACACTGAAACTACATACGGAAAAGGGTGGATGAAACTTACTTTCTCAATGAAGCATATGCTTCTGCTTTCTCCAAAGGATATCCACTGGAGTAGAAGGCAATCAAGCAATCGCATATCGGCCAGCTGCAACCATGACATAATTCACTAAATTAACATGGCGCATAGTATATAGTGAGGAAGGAAGACAAAACGTTCAAACTTAAAGCTAACGGGATGTATAAGCCATCAAAAATACATTATTACAGACAATTTTTCAGGGAAAAGATGTAAAACTCAGTTCAACAAAGAGAAAGATTATAGAATACAAAGTAGCAATGGTATGTCAATGTTGTTTCCAGGATTGTACCTCTCAATTGGATCCTCCAGAATAACTTTGTCACCAAAGTACATAACCTTCAAGTATAAAGTCCTAGTCAGAAAGATAATACACTTTTAACAACAAACTAGAAATGCACTCTGCAAAGTCAGTTCACCACTTGATCAATGGAGTATCACCATACTTTGAGTGATATATTTCCAAGAAAACTACTTTTATAGGAGACCCAATATCATAAGAAAAATGCTGAATCTTGGATTAGATGAATGCTTAAAAATTATTACCAAGAAAAGTACTTTTCAGGAGACCCAATATTACAAAAATGAAAGTTAGTTGGTTAATTCAGAAATGATGGAATACCTCAAATTCACCAAATGATTGAAGTCTTTCAAGAATCTGTCCCATTGGAGCTGAGAAGACCTAAATTTGATCAAAAAATTGAAAAGAATCAAGGTTAACAATTGCTGGTAAGCTAGTAAAGAATAAGTACAGCACTAGTATTGTTGGTGCATGCTCTGCAATTGCAACCAATCAAAACAATAGAACAGAACCTCGGGGCCGCATTTCACCTTCTTTTCCATTACACAAACACCAACTGTAATCTTATTCTCAACAACACTGTCCTCCTCCACTTTCTTCATCATCTTCTTTTTCTTCTCTTTCTCTTTCACTTTCTTTCTCTCTGGCTGATGACTAAAAGCTCCAAGATTTGAACTTTTCTCAACCCCACTTCTCATTCTCGCTTTTCACTGTCAAAAGCTCAAGAAACAAACAGATTAAAACACGTGTATGTATTTACATTATTTCGTAAAGAGTCCTTTTTTTTCATGAAAATAGTAAAAAGAGTCCGAAACAACTATAAAGATACATACCCACAGATTCAAGAATCCCGTGTGGATAAAGGAAAAGAAGAAAATAATGAGTGAAGACCCGAAATATCCAACGTATATTCAAAATCTTGAAAATCTTGCGAAGGCTTTAAGCTACAAACACATGGAGACACGAGAACAGAGAGAAAAAGGCTGCTTCAAACCGCCACCAAGAAAAAAAATATAATTATTTATTGCTACTAATGGAGTGGTTACTATGGTATTTATTATGTGGACCGTTAGATATAACAAATCCAATAGGATGGGTCAATATTGTGGGGTTATATTGGATTCTGGAATATACATACATTAGAAAGTGAAAGACACTGACGTGGAAAGGCTTAGGAGATACTAATCTTTAAAGATTAGTGGCTGCTTTATCCCTTTGTCACTGTATGTTGTAAAAGGTACAATGTCTTTTTGTCTATTATGTTTGTTTTATAAAATAAAATAAAATAAAATAATAGAGTAGGTACTCAACTCGAGCCTTATAATTTGTCATTTTGTTAATATGCACTTTTTATGCACGTGATCTAAGCGTGGTATGTTTTTTTTTTTTGCTCGGAGGGATCTTCACTTCTTCTTGTACATCTCCTTGTTTCGATATTTTTTGGTTGTTATAGTAAAGTATTATTGTAGAGTACATATTTAATACTTTCTCCGTTTTAATTTTAATGAGGTGATTTGACTCGATACGGCATTTAAGAAAGAAAAAAGATTTTTGAAACTTGTGGTCTTAAAAGTTTAAGGGATAAAATCTTTATGGGGTCATGACATTTGTATGGTTATAAAACTTCTCATTAAGGGTAAAATAGGTAAAATAAAGAGTTTAAAGTTGAATTATTTCAAGAAATGTGTCATTCTTTTTGGAACGGGCTAATAAGGAAAATGTGTCATCTAAATTGAAACAGATGGAGTAGCATAAAATAAAAATCGGTTCCAGAAAAAAATTGACTTTAATAGTGATTAACTGTTATATAAGAATGTTGTTAATGTATTTGGGATATCTTTTATTTATAAATTTCAATTTTTAAATTTGGTTGAGGTGCATTTAGAAATTTTGAAGAGTTACTTTATTTTTTAAATGGGAATGACGTATAAATAAGGAAAAATTGGGACTCATAGAGGCAATGAAGGGCCATCACTTCTCTCCCCAAACAAACAGCATCCTTATGCCAAAAGCTATCAGGTGTATGGATAAGTGGTTCAGTGCCTTAGCAAACTTTACAGGTTTATTCTTTGAAAATGATAGAACTTTTTGATAGGGTCCTCCATATATAAGGAGATCATCTTATGAAGTTATGATGATACCGAATATTCTTTTACTCATATAATTCTTTTCACATTAAATCAATAAAATAGAATACATGAAATTTTAGTAAAATTATAATTTTAAATTCAAGTAGTAATTAGTTTAGAAAATTATTTCCTCTAAATATAGGTGGTCCATATTCGACACAGCAATGCGTATGATAGACACGATTAGGTGTAATAATTATCATTACTATAAGTAGAGAATGTTTCGTGGGAACATACTTATTGTACTACATATATTCATTTCAAGTATTTCGATTGATTGCAGTAGAAAAGTTAAACTCAATGGTCTTTTTTTATTACTACAATTTATTATATATTTGATTGGTTCAAAGTCATAAGTGGTCAAAAGAAAATAGGATTTTTAACGTTGTGATATTATTCGGGACCACAAAGGTTACGCTGTCTGTCATCGTGTTCCTAGGAAGCTAATATTCCAGCACATACCATAGAGAGGAACCAAGTAGGAATGGGCTTTGATTTTGATGGAACATTCCGGTCCAATTGTGATGTTTCCAATTATGTAGGCTAATGATATATCCCAGTTACTAGTCAAAAGCAAAATAATTGAAAAAAAGACACGTCAATCGGGTGGCAGTGAATAATAGGAGTCTGTACTATCACATTAGATCTATGAACGAGTCAATTTTAGATGGCAATTCCAGCCTACTATAATTTTGTTTGCTTGTCGGTTATAGTACCTACCAAAATGTAGTCATAATTTGTATAGACAATTAGTCAATTAAATATGCTCAATCCAAAAGACGGAAAACTTTATAGAAGCAAACAGTTCTTTTTAACTAGATCTGCTTAAAAGTAATCAGACAATTTCGAAACATGAATTGACCTGCGTTAGTCGACACCTCCAACTGTGACCATAAATTGGCCATTCGTTCTATCCGAAAGAGAAAAGAGCAAGACCCAATCAAATTAATGAATTTCATTAGGAGATGTAACAAGTAAAATTGAAAATTTTGGATGCCCATGGTACCTTTCCCGTCATGTAACTGCATAATTCTTTAAGAAAGAGGCAACCATTCCTGAATTGGTATCACCTTTTCCATCTAGATAAGTAATAGTACAACGCAAATTTGGGTTGAGAAAAGTAGATTGAGTAGTGCAGCACGAATAACATTAGAAGTTTACAACAATCCATACTTGTATACTTGCCGCAAGTTCCATGCTTTCCAATGGTCAATGAGCCTTTCCCTCAAGAACAGCACGGAAAAACAATTGCTGGACAGTAGTACACTGTCAGATTCAAGCCTTTGCTCAGAGAATTTGAGAAACACAAGAGGCTGGTCAAATAGCAGGGGCTGGAGCAGGATCTCATGGTGCTGAGGGTACAAAAACATGGCAAGTTTAGCTTGAAAGGGTGCTGCGGGTCTTAAAGTCCGCTTCCATCTAGAAAACGTAGTTGCAGACCAATTGATATCCAAATAATAGTTGAATGCCCCTTACAACAACATGCTGTCCCATACTCATGATATGAGTTGTGACACACAAGTAAGCTTGCTCATGCTATATTAGGTTGCTGAAATGAGGATCTAGATATATCAAGTCAAGCACCTCATGTATGTTAGTTAAACATGAATGGGAGACATCTCCAGCTACAAACTCATTAACCATCCCATCAATCTCAATTGCACTGTACCCAGGGGTCTTTCTGAGCCCTTTGTCACCAATCATCCTCCTGATTCGACGTGCATCATCACATTGTCGAGCTGCCAAATATATATTTGATAACTGAACATACGCAGAATCTTCTTCAGCTTCATTGCCATCTTCTACCAACAAAATCTCTTTAACGGCAAGTTCTGCAAGACTAACATTGTTGTGATTTCGACAACCACTCAATAACGCGCCCCAAACTGAGGCCCGTGGTTTCATTGGCATCCTTCTAATAAGCTTAAGTGCATCATCCAATCGTCCAGCTCTGCATAACAAATCCACTACACAACTGAAGTGCTCATGTTCCGGCACAACGCCGTATAAAGATTCCATCTTATCCAACAAAGCTTCGCCTTCTTTTTGAAGCCCTGCATGCGCACACGCTGCTAACGCTGCAAGAATGACAATACCATCAGGATTAAGTCCATCAACCACTTGCATCCTCTCCAAACAGCTTAATGCTAGCTCAGGACGACCATGGACTGCAAACCCTCTTATCATTGTTGCCCACGAATGCTTATTTCGCGTAGGCATGCTGTCAAATACCTCAGAAGCCAAGTGAATACATCCACACTTAGCATACATATCAACAAGTGCAGAGCCGATAAAAACATCAGACTCAACCCACTCACTCTTCATAACATGCTCATGAATCCACTTCCCTTGCTCAAGAGCACCTAAATGAGCACAGGCCGAAAGCGCTGTGGTCACACAATACTCATCCGCACTAACTCCACGCCCCAGCATATCCTGGAAAATACTCAATGTCTCCTTGGCTAGTCCGCATTGAAGGTGCCCACTCATTAAAACATTACATTGAATAACATCAATGTCAGTAATTTCATCGAACATCTTGCGTGCATCATCCAATGCTTTGCAGTTGGTGTAAAACCGAATTAATGCTGTCTGTACATGTGCATCTGACGCGGAAAACGAATTCTTAACTACCCAACTGTGCATTTGCTTTCCCTCTACTTCCAAAGGACCATTGGCGCAAGCGATGAGAAGAAAAGGAAATGTAAAACTATCAGGAACGGCAGCGTTATTGGTTTGTAACATAAGATTGAAGTAATGAAGGGAAAATTGGGGTTGTGAGCTGCGAGAGTAAGCCCTAATGAGAATATTGTAAAGGAAAGTATTGGGAGTTCGAACCTGCGCGAAGATTCGTGAGGCATAGGAAAGGTCGGCGGAATTTGAAAGCGCAGAAAAATCGAGGAGCTTGCTTACGGCGTAAGTGTTGCGGTGAAGACCAAGAGTAATGTAAATGGCGTGGATGGCTTTGAGTTGGCGACTATTGGAGCACTTTTCTGCCATGGACATGCACCATCTCCATAATTGGAAGCTGTTATTGGCAAGGCTTGCTCTCACTTGGAGGCGGACATTGCTTAGACAGCTCATAAGCGGGCATTGTTAGGCAGGACAAGGTTCATGACTTGACTAAAAGACGCAAATTTTCTTTACTTATTGACTACGTTTACTACATTAGCATTGTGTAAAATATTCTGAGAGTTTTCCAAGCTATTAGAGAATTTTATAGATGACAAGGTTAAAAAGGAAGCAAAAGATATTCGAAGAACTGCAATCGCAAGGAAAAGTGAGGAAATGTTAGTAGGCGTTTGGACATAACAATTGTAAGATTCCAAGAAATAGTAAAAAAAAAATTCAAGTGAAAATGGTATTTGAAATTTAAAGTTGTGTTTGTAAAAATTACACGGGGCGCCCTATTTAGTCGCCCCCATTTAACCTATACCCATTTTTTTAAAAAAGTTTTAGCTTGTCCCACTTTTTAAACAACTCTAGCCCTCTTTCTCCTCCTCTTCCTTCTCCTCCTTCGTTTTCTTCTTCTTCTTTCTTCTGTTGTTGGTGCTCCTATGAAACTTCAGTTCAGGGGAAGATTGTCATAAGTATGTTTATCAGATTATTTAAAAATAAATTATAAATAATTACGTAAGTTAGTAGACAATAATTTGTGAATATTTCCACGTAATTCTGTTCTTTTCACGTTTATTATTTTCAAAATTTATGATTTAGATACTGTTGGCAATCAGATTATTTTATAGTAGTAATACATTATGAAAGAATAAGGTGCTTATTTATCTAGTATGTTAGAAAGCTTTTTCAAAAACTTCAGCTTATATAGTTCTGAAATTTTTACAAATGAACTAAATAACTTCAGCATCTTCTGCTGAAGTTTTTGAAAAAGCTTATCCAGGACAAAAAAACTTCAGTTTATTTAGTGCTGAAGTTTTTACAAATGAACTAAATAACTTCAGCATCTTCTGCTGAAGTTTTTGAAAAAGCTTATCCAGGACAAAAAAACTTCAGTTTATTTAGTGCTGAAGTTTTTACAAATGAACTAAATAACTTCAGCATCTTCTACTGAAGTTTTTGAAAAAGTTTTATGACAAAACTAATGAATCCAGGACAAAAAAAACTTCAGCTATTTTAGTGCTGAAGTTTTTACAAATGAAATAAATAACTTTAGCATCTTATCAAGGACAAAAAAACTTCAGCGTATTGCCTTTGCTACTTCAGGCCCGTCTACTAGAATGCTCAAGTTTTACGTGATTGTCTTTGCTACTTCAGCCTCGTATGCTAAAGTTACGCGAAAAAGTGGGTACGCTTGCAATTTTTTTGCAAAGCGGGCATAAGTTAAAACGTGACCCAAAAAGCGGGTATAGATGCAAATCCTCCGTTGTGTTTGGACATAAAATTCAGTTTGGGTTGTTTTGAAGTTTTGTGAGTGATTTGAATGAAAATTTTGAAAAATAGCTTTTTAGAGTTTTTCAAATTTTCGAAAATTTCCAAAATGTATCTTTAAGTGAAATTGAAAATTTTATGAACAAACAATGATTTCAAAAAAAAAAGTAAATTTTTTTTGGAAAAGGGGGAAAAATCTTATGTCCAAACGGGCTCTTAGTTTGATCTCCAAATAAAGGAAAGCCATTAAAATTAAAATTTTATGGCCAAAAGAGTAACATTCATCGATGATTCTGTCGAAATGCATCTTCTAGAAGTTGCAGAGACACTAGCTGAATACTCCATCTGGTCCATAAAAGTAATCATTTTACATTCGGTACATCTATTAAGGAAATACGAACTCCTACAGAAAAAAATATATCGACTAAATTACTCTTGATTAATTGTTACCTCGACACATGTGAATAAGGACAAATTTTGAAAAAATAAAATTAATTCCTTCTTGATTATGTAAACGGACACTTATTTTGGCCAAAATAAAAAGATAAAATGATCATCTATTGTGGACCGAAGGGAGTATCACCCTGGCCAAAATCTTAAATACCCAACAACGCTACAACCAAAACAATAAAGTAATGCTGGAGACAACTCTTGGTAGGAACTAGGGGTGGCAAACGGGCTAGTTGAGTCGAATATGAGCGGGTTAACAACAACAATAACCCAGTAGAATCTCATCAGTGGGTCTGGGGAGGATAGAGTGTGTGCAGACCTTACCCCTACCCCAAAGGGGTAAAGAGCCTGTTTCCGAGAGACCCTCGACTTAGAGACAATAAATCCGTAACAATAACAGAAACTAGAAAAATAATATCAGCAACGTGGCATACAAGAAATAAATAGAAAAGCAATAATACAAATACTATGCAAAAGTGTGAAACACAACATAAACCGCTAGCAGTCCTAGACAAAACACTATTAGACTAGCCGATACAAAGAGGAAAAATGTTTGACTACCTAATGCTCAACCTCCACAGATAATGCTAAAACGAATAAAATATCTGACCTGCCCCATATTTAATATGATAGAAAATGGGTTAACCGATTGATACCATATTATCTATGGCTTCTTGAATATGATCACTTTTGAGAGAATTCCTAGTCTCTCAAACTCAAGGAATCTACAAAATGTAAAAGTTAAACTCATTGGTTATATATTTTCTAAGTGGATAATGTGGATCTTATCCATATTTGACCAATTTTTAAAAGGTTCATTATCCAATCCATTTTTTGTGGATAATATGGATGGATAACTGTTACTATTTTATTATCCATTTTTCCACCGCTAGTAGGAACATAATCTATCTATTATTAAAAAGAAAGAAGTTAGCCATGCGAATACGCCAAGTGTCGCCTGAAGAAAATGTCATGTGGCAATTTTAGTTACAAATTAGTTTATATTTGGAATTTGAATTTCAAAATAATAAAATATATATATATATTTAAGGAAAAAGTAATTTTCAAATTAAAATTATATTTTGCAACCCACACATAATATAACTCCTCCATGCGCGCCTTTGACCTAAAAGATATCAATTCCTACAGATTCGGCTCTTCCTTCCCACGATGACGCTCCATTCCCACGATCTCACACCACGATTTCTAACTCCTTGCCCACCAATTCTTCTGCGAGGGGTTCTCACTAACATGATTTTACTTCCTTTTGAAATCAGTTTTCTACTTTAACAATCAGTAATTCTTTCTCTCTTGTGCACGTCAAGCAGGAATTGATATCTAGAAGGTATTCAGTCTTTTTCATTGTAAGTTCACTGCACCATGTTCTCAAAGATGATTTGATACATTATAAGCATATTATTGCTCTCCTGCTAATTGATGTTGCTCTGTTTGATATGCGTTTATGAAGGTATGTTTACTTTATCGTCGACGGGCCACAACTTCAATAGCTTCTATAATTTTTTTTATTTAAACACAATTGCTAATTAGTGGCAGGTATAACTTATAAGTCTATCTATTGTGGGATGTCACAGTTGTGGGGGAACAAGATATTCTTTGGCTAACTGCCCCAATCCGCTTCACAAGCAATTTTCCATTTTTCGTTCTTTTCCCTTCTTTATTTTCTGTTCTAAATTGTTCATAGAATTAGAAATACAGTACTAAGAATTTAGTGGCATTTAGCATACCACAATAAATTGTATTATGCATTAAGTTGAGTTACAAGAGACTATGTTGTCATTTATAGGAACATGTTTAACGTCTTGTTTGAAACTCTGTAAATTCTTGAAGATATACCAACACAGGAATTATAATCAATTCTGATTTTCTTCAGTTCTGGAATTATTATCTAATAAAAATTCTAGAATGATTATCTACAGAAACTATAGAACACTACATATGAGTATAGTGACATTGCTGACTCTTTTTTATTCCCGACACTTTGTTTCAGATATATTTTATATTTTAGTTCAAATTGTAGTAATGTAAACCACCTTACTCTGTATCACTATCTTTATTTTGATTCACACTTCTACTCAATTAACAGAGGACTTAATGGCGGCTGAAAGTAATTTCATTAGCGAAATTAACAGCAAGTCAATGAACTGAAAATTGAAGGTTCGTATTGTCAGGCTTTGAGAAAATCCTGATCGCAACAAACTTGATAGTCCATTTTCAATTGAGGTTATTCTGATGCTTTTACACTTTATACTTTTGTTTTTCATTATTTACATATGCATAAGTATATTACAGTCATATACGGAATAACTTAGTCATTTAATTAATTGAGTATTTTGTAGGGCGACCGCATTCATGCAAGTGTTGGCAGATCTCTTATCTAAAGGTTCAACCAACAACTTATAGAAATGGGTTTGTTCATCATGAAGAATTTCGTGGTTTGTTCAAATAATATGAAACTGAAGATCAAAAACCACAAGTTTAAGCACCATTGTTGAGAAAATAAAGGATCCACATTTCAACATGTGTATCATCATATTGAAAATGTATGAGCAACTGTCAAATCCACAAGAATTTGACAACAGTGAACACACAATTCGGTAATTAAATTTTTTTTCAGTTATATTTTATTTTTGATGATCTATTTTCTATCCTATGAGTACTTAGGTGAGAACTAAATCAATCCCAATTACAGAACCTAAAATCAAATCTCAAGTTTTAAGATTAAAACTGAATGACTTGATTTTATTAGATCCTTAAGCTAGGTGGACAGTTAATTAAACATCTTTTACCTGATTAAAAAGGGAAAAACATATATGAAATCTTCTTATAAATATGTTAATAAAAAATAAGATAAGATACTTGGGATCTGTTTATTTTTCGACACAATCCCAATTACAATACCTTATATCAAAACTTAAGTTTAGCTGAATTTCTTGATTTTGTTAGATCCTTAATTATTTAAATAGTTTGTTAGTTGTGCTTGCTATAACATTTTCCTTCTTTCTTTCTGATTGATAAGCTATTGCATCCTCTAGATCTTCTATCAGTGAAATAGCTTTTTTACCTGATTA